TGCCCAAAACTATTAGTTACTAATAAATTCAGTAAAGTTGCAGGATAAAAAATCAATATACAAAAACCTATTTCATTTCTATATACTAGTAATGAACTGTCAGGAAGAGAAATTAAAAAAATTATCTCATGTAAAATTGCATCAAAAGAATAAAAAGTAAAAAACCTGTACAATAAAAGGTATAATAAATTGATGAATGAAATTGATGAAGAAACAAATAAATGGGAAGATATTTCATGCTCATGGATTGGTAGAATATTGTTAAAATATCCATACTATCCAAAACAATATACAGATTCAAAATTCATATCAAAATTCCAATGGAATTTTTTATGAAAATAGAATAAAAATTCTAAAATTTGTATAGAACTGCAAAGAACCCCAATAACAAAAGCAATCTCGAGAAAGAACAAAGCTGAAGACATCACACCCCCTGATTTTAAACTGTATTACAAAGCTCTAGTACTCAAAACAGTATGGTACTGGCATAGAAACAGACATGTAGTGCATTGGAAGAGAACAGGAAGCCTAGAAATAAAGCCATGCATCTTTTATGACCAAAAAAAGCCAAGAATATTCGGTATCTTCAATAAATGGTATTCAAAAAACCTGCAGCCAAGTGCAAAAGAATAGACCTGTACTACTATCTTACATCACACACAAGAACTACCTCAAAATGTATTAAAGACTTAAACATAAGATCTGGAATCATAAAAATCTTAGAAGAAAATATACACAGTACTTTTGACATCAGTCTTGGCAATGATGTTTTTGGATTTGACACCAAAAGCAAAACAGCAAAAATAAACAAATGCCACACATAAAACTAAAAAGCTCCTGCACAGCTAAGGAGACAACAAAATGAAAAGGCTACCTACTAAAAGAAGTTTTGCAAATGGTATATCTGACAAGGGGTTAATATCCAAATGTATAAAGAACTCATGCAAGTGAATAGCAAAAAACCAAACAATCGAATTAAAAAATGAGAAGATCTGGGTAGATTTTTCCAAAGAAGACATACAAATGGCTAACAATTACACAAAAAGGTGCTCAATATCACTAATCATCAGGAAAATGCAAATCAAGACAATGAGATGTCACCTCATACCTATTATAATGTCTATTATCAAAAGACAAGAAATGTGTTGGTAAAGATATGGAGAAAAGGGAACCCTAGTGCACTGTTGGTGGGAATGTAAATTGGTGCAGCCACTATGGAAAACTATATGGAGCTTCCTCAAAAAATTAAAAATAGAACTACCATATAACCCAGTAATTCCACTTCTGGGTACTTATTTATCTAAACAAAACAAAACCACTAACTCAAAAAAGATAGATGCACCCCCATGTTTCTTGAAGCATTATATATAGTAGCCAAGACATGGAAACAACATGTTTATCAATGGAGAACAGCTAAAGAAAATGATTTATGTATATAATGAAATTTTATTTGGCCATAAAAAAGAATAAAATCCTGTGATTTGCAACAACATAGATGGACCTTTAGGGCATTATGCTAAGCAAAATCATTCAGAATACTGTATGATCTCATTTATATGCAGAATTTAAAACAAAAAACAAAAAACCGAGCTCATAGATACAGAGAACAGATAGGTGGTTGCCAGAGACAGAGACATGAGGATGAAAACAGTAAAAAAATCAACAAAAATGAGTCACATCTATATATATTGACATAGAAAGATACTCATCCTTGAGTGGTAAAACATGTCACAGAAAAATATATATGCTGTAATCTCATTTTCATATGAGAGAGGGAGAGAAAGAGAAAGAACTCTGAGTGACATTGTACATTATGAGCATAAAAAGATATACCTAACACAGTTAATCAGGGTTACCTCAAGAGATATTCTCTCTTCAAATCCACATAATGCCAATGCCTAAAATAAAATACCCAACAATGAAAATTAAAAGCAAAAAGAAAGTCCCAAAGTATAGTAACTAAAATAGAAAAAAAATAAACCAGAATTTCATTTTCTAAAAATTAGTAATGCAAAAGAAATAAAGCAGTGCCCTAAAAGCACTTCTGAATAACCAATACCAGAGGCTTAAAAAAAAAAAAAAAAAAAAAAGTTTTTTTTTTTATTTTTAGGAAGAGTGCATTGTAATTTTAGTATCATAGACTACTTAAAAATGTTGGTGGAAACAGAAAAACAATGAGTCTTCCATTCCAGGAAGTGTAAAATCCATTTTTTTAAAAATGAGAACAAAATGAACCAACAGTGCAAAAAAAAAAGCTATTAACCTAGAAAAAAACTCAGAAAACTAAGATAGTCACTCTAAAAAGTCCAATGCCAGCAGGTTATACATATGAAAACTCATAGGCAACGATATAATGCAATAAGGGTAGCAAAAAAAAGTGGCTGTCATGCTGCCGCTCTCAAGACAATTGCCACCTTCTATCCCAGCAGTCTTTCCCTTTGAGCCAAGATAAGGCTTCACAAGTTTTCTTAAATGTGGAGAACAGGACCAATAACATGGCTTTGGTCCAGTCAAGATAGGATCAAGTATATAAAACAAAATGGTGTCACTTATGTCAATGAAGATGTCTGCCAGTCAGTCATAATACTTTGGTTCAAGAAGGAAACTACAAAAGTCATACTAGGCACGCTTCCAAATGCCTGCTGGGGTGGGACATCCAAAATATTAGCACACAGACGCATCTGCAGAGAGGGCACACCTGGTAGAACGCTGGGGGCGCTTGGCCCCAAGCCACAGAATTTCCAGCTCAATCAGGTGCCAAAAATTTGGATATAATTGAGGTGAACTTCAGAGTGACCACCAAGACAGCAAATCTCCCGCTGTAAAATGATGGATGCTCCATGCTACTCTGGGCCACACGCTTCCAGAGGCTCTGCTCGACTGGGCTCGGGAACTTCCATACCACCTGAGGTACCGCTCCAATCAGAGCAAGACACCTCGCGTCCCACCTACAACTGGGCGTTGGCCTTGGATTTAGCCAGCGAAGATCCTCCTTTCCAGTCGCTCCCGGCTCACCACCCGCTGTGCTGTCTCCTGGACCTGGGACCGAAACTCTGGGATTTGAGTTTATTAATTCCCCCTTGATTGTTGTGATATTTCAGATGAGAGGATATTAATGTAATGTTGGTGTTCTATCATGTGTGAACCTACATTTAATAAAAGCTGAGTTTGAGCAACAGCTGTTGTGGCTCTCACCTGGTTCCTTGCTGCTGCCAGGTATGCACTCAGCCAGGTGACCTACTTCCCCCAAAATGGAGCTGTGCCCTCATTTTTGGAAAGACTATAATGTGACTCTCCTTGAGAGGCATGGCCTACAGGGGCGGTATTGAGGGTGCTCGTGACATTAACCTGGGTAACACTTTGGGCAGCCTCTACCAAACTACCAAAATGGTAGTTGCGATGTCACTTGAAAACAGCTTATCATTTCTTCAGCAGCAGAAGATCCAAGATAAGACATCGCAGCCTAAAAATGGAAAAGGCACGCAGGGTCTCTTCAAGGTTTAACATTTAAGAGGAAGACATTTAGATAGTATATGCTTGTTAAATCCCTGAGCTTTAGAAACACAGAATGACGGCTGAGGCAACTGAAGGAAAAGGTAATAGTTCAGGCCATTGGAGATAAGAATAGCTTGAGATCATCCTATTAAAGTGCTGAAAAGAAATCTTAAATCCATAGAACCTGCAGAAACTCACCAGTGGGCCACCTCATTACCCCTAAAGAAGTACCCAAGGGGCATTTGACTTGGATCAGCTAGAGCTACTTAAAAATAAAATAAATTATGCAAGCAATAGGGGAATTGGCATATGGTAAAGTTTCATTACTTTGTATGACAGCCCTTAAAAATGAGGAAAAAGGTATTTTAAATAAATTTCATAGTGTCAATTCTATTAATCCTGAATGAGTTGTGGAGGGCAACTTAGGTGAATCTAAAGCAGACAATATATTTCTCTCTAGGGAGTCCAGAGTTGTTTTTTTAATAGATAAACATAGGAATTTAGAATGAATAAAGATAAAACACCAAGTATTTTAAGTAATAAGGGGTTATAATATTGCATACAGTAACCATTGATTCTAAAACACACCATTATGTAAGCGCCACTCAAAAACGGGGGGAAAAGTATTCACAAATACTTTTTCTTACTGTTTAGCATTTTTATATTCTATTTTTTCTGAAACTGCTCTTGTAAGCTTCTTGAGACATGGAAGTGACCACGCTATGCAGAGCTATGACTGAACGCACACATGTGGAAGCCACGAAAACTCTTACCTTCAACCTGCCTGACAGCATTTGTAGGGTGTCATCGATTTTAAGACGCAGCCCGATTTCAGGGTTCTTAGAATGTGCCTTAGAAATGATGAAACAGGACATGCCAAATAAATTATTTTCCAGGTGGGTTTTAAAGGAAAGAAGGTACTTAAAACAGATAAATATGATTCGGCATGAGGTGTATTATATGACAAGGAATGTACACAGAATGCCTTGAATAAGGATTTGACCACTGCCCAGGGGAAGCACAGAAGGCTCTCCAGTTGGAGCACAGAGATGTCCTTGAAGAAGAGGGGCAAATAATAAATAAATAAATAAATAAGAGGGAGAACCTAGAATTATAGGAAAAGAGAGTTTAAATATGATGGACTGGGGTAAAGGCCCTGCTTCTAAGATTGTGGGATCTTATCATTTGGGGATTCGCCCACAATCACAAGGTTTTCACAGCACTGGCACGGCCAGCGCCCCTCAGCAACAGGCGCACCACAGAGGTAGAGCAGGTTTGGTTCCGGATCGCTGCAATAAAGCGAGTCGTAATCTCTTTGCTGGGTCCTGCCTTCACTTTGTAAAAACCACAACATCTATGAAGAGCAATAGCACAAGCTGCACTGAAATGAAGTATGCTTGTATATATTTGTTGAATGAGTGAGTGAATGTGTGAGGGCGTGCATGTGAGTTAGGGCTGTCTGTGGCCAAAGATCACAGCTGTTCTTTGTTCCTTTGTCACCCCAGAGAAACTTGAGAGCGAGAAGCTGAATGTTGCTGAGGTCACCCAGTCAGAGATCGCTCAGAAGCAAAAGCTGCAGACTGTCCTGGAGAAGATCAATGAAACGCTGAAACTTCCTCCCAGAAGCATCAAGTGGAATGTGGACTGTGAGTTTTACAAAGAAAACGGGGTCTGGCAAATGATGCCTCTGTTCTCTACTGTGCTTTCCCCAGGAAGCCATCCAGTAGGCTGCTGCATGGCTGCAAACCCATTCACCTTTCTAAGGAGGGACACCTGTCACACACAGAGCACTTGTCCTCCGTGCTTCTGGGACAAGTAACAAAATGTCAAAATCAGTGGGCCTTTTCTAGGAAGGGCTGTCTGTAGAAACTCAGGTGAGACAGGAAGAGAAAGCAAACTCATATTCATTGAGCTCCTTCTGCGTCCCAGCACAGCCTTCTGAGAATGCTCTTGCCTCTGGCTTGGTAGGGCCTTCGGGAAGCAGGCCCTAAGTTCAGGCAGTGGAGAAGCCAGAGGGCAAAAGGTCACGGTACAGAGCCCACAGCCTTCTTCTCTCTCACTCATTTTCTAGGGGGAAAAAAAGATATAGCTGAGATCAGATGGTAAACACCGGAACAGATTTTAAAATCCAGGTTCCACAGCCAGGTAGTGTGAAGATCTCAGAAAGCATAAACCACTCACTCTTTTGCTGCCTCAAGGGTCTGGATGACTGATGTGGACTTAATGAGTCAATATCAGAACCAACATTAAATCAGCAAACTGAGTGAATCCATAGTAACTTTCTTTCCCATAGGGAATCCAGAGTTGTTTTGTTCTTTGCAATAGGTAAAAATGTGAATTTAGATTTACAAGTGATTTAGATTGTGTTCTTTGCCTTTAAGTATGAACAGGTTCAATATACTCTATCTTATTGCATCCAATTTATAAAACCTAAAATGGATACATCCCCCCTAAAAACACCTTTCAAACTTGGCAAAGAAAAAGGAAGCTTTACCTCTCAACTTAGAAACCCAGTAGCTGCCAGTCACAATCTCTTCAGCAGGTTTCTAACATCTGACTTTGGAGGTAAGACGCTAAGTACCTCCTCCAGCATAATTACACCTTTGCTTGCACAGTGTGATAAGCTGCCTCTTATAGCACTTGGAACAGGGCATCCTCTGATGAGGGAGACAATGAGGAATGAGGGCAGGAGGAGAGGAGGCTGTGTCCCTGGGCCTTAGATGCTTCCCCTCCTCCTGTGTCTCAGGAATCCTAATAGTGTTCAGTGGGAGAGAAAAAAGGAGGCTTGATCACTAGTTTGAGAAATGCATCTGCATTTTGGAAATCGACAACATTCAGAATCATTTAAGCATAAAGTCATAAGCATAGAAGTCCTCTCATCAAGACCCCTGTTTAGTTTTTTTATTCTATTTCCTGCTCCTTTGAGTGTATATCATCTCCACGTATACTTCCAAATGAAAAAAAACAAAACGCCTTTTAACTTACCAGGGAACCCGATTTGGGAAAGGCAGGGATAAAAGAATGGAGTTTTTAAAAGCCAAATGAGGACCACCATTAGCTTTGAATGATTTGTGTCATCTTTACCTTCATTTGTTATAGGAAAATGTGCATGAGTGAAATAATCACTCATACCACCATTCCTATCTGGCTATTATATAAGTTTTGCCCAGCACTATCTATATCAATGCATATTTTTAATGGCTAAAATTAGGTACCTCTTGTGTTTTGTTATTTTCATCTAAGAGTAAGTCATACTTATTTTCTGTATTCCCACGTGGTCTTCATAAGTATCGTTTTTTGATAGCTGCTCTGTTTCATGGGGTAGATACCCCACAATTAACCATTTACTGTTGACGTTGATCCTTTCAGGATGTTCAGCAGCCTATTGCTAATATGAGCTAGTGCCATGTTGACTGCCTCAGGTTGTGTCTCTTTTCGCTTCTCTTGAATTATTCCTGTCATAGATTTCCAGAACTGAGATAAATTACAAGGTTGGAGGGAGTAGTTACTCGATGACTAGCTCCCTGGGATGTCTCGGGGCTGCAAGAACTGCTGGGCCTGTTTACCAGCAGCAGTGGTTTCTTCCATGAGGAATGTGGCAGGCACAGCCCCCGGGGGAAGCTATGTCACTCCTCTCTGTTATCTTTCCTGGTAGCTTCCGAGGACATTGTGTCATTTTCCATGCAGGGTAAGTGTGGTGAGGAGAGGCAGCTGTGGGTGGGCTGCAGTTAGCACTCAGGGACCAGCACAGTTATACTTTTTTCATCTGTTTTGCCTAACAGCTTTTAGTACAAAGGTTTTCTCTGCTTAATTTAAAAAAAAAAAAAAAAAATGAAAAACCACTGATCTAAACTATCCTCTTGCTGTTTGACGTAGTGTTTTCCAGACTTTTTCAGTGATAATGTATTACACAATATTTAACATCTTTGTACATGTAGTATGTGTGAGAGAGAAAGAGAGAAACTGTTACTCTTTCTTTTGAAAACAATTCCCAGGAGGAGAGGGCTCTCATTGAAAGCATCTGTGTGGTGCTTATGACATAGCTCTACATATTGCTCCCCAAGATAGTCAAGATGACGCACAACGTCACCAGTGTGTAAAAAACCTGTTGAACCACAGCTCTCTAACATTACATTTTGTCATTCAAAGGGAAAGAGGTAGTAGCACATGTCCTACAGTGCTCGGTGACTAAACTGATGGTGTAGCAGTTCTGAAAGTGTCAGTGAACACACCATGTCAATGGGTCAGTCCCATGCTAGGAGCCTTTTTTTGAGGCTATAACTGTGGGTGAAACTTTTGACAATGGCCAGAAGCCCAGAACTGAAAACTTCTGGAAGGCGGAGTTAGAAGTAGATCATTTGTTATTTGATGCTGGTGTAGAGCTGCTGTTCACAGTCAGTAGAAAACCTTCTTTGAAGTAGCAGTGATAACAAGAAACTCTAATGAGTTCCCAAGGAATGTCTGAATCATTTCCTTTTCTTGGTGATTTCTCAAAGCTTCTGTAGAGCAGACTCATCAGTCCTAGTGCAGACACCCTAATAGTGGGCTCAATTTCGTGCTAAATACAAAAAAAAAAAAAAAAAAAAAAAAATGGGCATTTTCTGTTCTTTCCTAAAGTGCCCCATGTAATGAAGAACCATGAGGCTGGAAGGACTGTGGAGACAGGTCAAGTATCTGGTGAATCTTCCCATGTATGAGAAACAAAAGGGTGAAAATGGACGTGGTTTAATTGTCTAGATGCCAGGCACTTTCTCAAATTTTAGTAAAAATTATCAGCCATTCCTGGGTACGTGCTATGGGCTAGGAGCTTTGCCTACATTATCTCTGAAAGTTCCTACAACCTGTATTTCTGCACAGGCACATTTATCCCCATTTGTGAAGATGAGCAGATGGAGGCTCGGAGTCCTTGAGCGGCCTACCCAAGGTCTTTTAGGAAGTAAATAAGTGGTAGAGTTGTCAAGTCAGAGCTCAAGCTCTAGCCTAACTATGTGTGCACCCGATTACATCACAGTCTTTTACTCCTCACATCTACTGAGAAAAATACAACCCAGAAGTTGCCCAGCTTTCTCTAAAAATGGCTTAATATCCAACACATTGCTCAGGAGTTACAGAAGCCAACTGGGTCATAAACATTCCCTCCCAGCTCTTTCTCAAGGGGCACTGCCTACCCTGATCATACATGACACTCAAGAGAGCAACAAAGCCCATTATATATCTTTCATGCTTTTCGCTAGGGATATTTAAAGACCTGATTGAAGGAAGGACCTAGTGTTCCTGACTCAGTGTCCATTTATTGAGAGTCTGCGTTGGGTAGAGCCTTGGGACAAGGGTAGTGGTAATAACCCAAAGGGTTCACAGTCAAGTTGGAAGAGAGGGAGAGTGCAAAGCAGACAGACATATCCCTGGTTATTAAAATATAGTGAACAAAAACATGGAGGTGGTAGAGAGCTCTTCTGAACTCAGAATTCAGCCACTGTCAGGGTCTCTATGGGACCCTTGGATTAGAGTAGAGAGGCACTATGTTGAAAATGCAGCAATGACATCTTCTAAGAAGCTGCTCCTTGGGACCTGGCCAAGAATGAGGGGGCCCAGGGTAAGGTCTATGATGGCCAAGGGTGTCTGTTCCCTGATCCTTAGGAGTGGGATAAAAGAAACAATGGATGTGGTTCAGCTACCTTTGGACTCTCTGCTTGTATCTGCCTAGAACCTAGATGATCCTCTAAATTTTTTTAATCATTTTTTATTTCAGCTGTTCATGCCAAGAGCCTGGTAGCCATCCTGCATCTGCTGGTTGCTCTATCCCAGTATTTCAGGGCACCAATCCGACTCCCAGACCATGTTTCCATCCAAGTGGTCGTGGTCCAGGTAAGACAGAAACCACTACAAACATCTGCACCCTTAAGAGGTGTGAAGGCAGAGTTCTGATAAGAGCTAAGGCATGCTGGGTAGCTTGTTAGAAGGACAGCTGAATGAATGCCAGGTGTTCTTGGGTGTGTGTATGTTGGGAAGCATGTGAGTACACTTGCTGATGTGTGTGGGCTTATCTCTGGTAAGTGTGCAAAGGGTGGAAGAGTCTGTGCTTACATATGGGAATGCCTTGTATGGGACATGTACCTGGGGTTTACATGTTCTTCTCAAGAGGGTGTCTGTGTCACATATATTTCAGGGTGTTTGGTGTGTATGTTTATGAGGTGTGTCTAGTAGGATCAAGAAGAAAGATGTGTCAGTGTTCGGGTACATGTGCACCCTGCAAGCCACAGAGCATCATCCTTTTGGGGGTAAAGAGTGATGTACAAGTAGTGGGACGAGACGAATGTGAGCATGTGGGTACGTGTGTGTGTGAGACCCCGACTGGACTTGCCTGTATGGAGGGCACTACCACTTTTCAGCCACTCAGAGAAGCACAGCTGGGATCTCAGGTCATCTTTTCCAGATTGTTAGATGGAATTTCCATTCACATGGCTGTGTAATTTCCACAGTGAGGGTGGGCACGCTCCCTGTGACTATCTCACTCTGCCCCTAACCCCATTAGATACTTAAATTCAATTTCAATTTCCAACTTTATGCCATTTAGCAGAAGGTTGTCAGTTTGTGTGCTTGTATGTGTTCTTTTCCAAGTAAACATGCTGCAAGGGAGAGCTCCCCTTATAAGCAGCTCCCTGAGTCTCCAGGGTTCTGGAATAGAGCACAGTATGGCCGTTCTCCTGGACCTTGGTGAGGAGGAGCTTTGAGGGCTGGTAAGCTTTACCTCACCAGACCAGGCCAGCTTCAAGGACAAAAGGTCTTTGAGCTGAGCTTTCAGGGATCAGATATTAATGGAAGAGGACTTGGGGATGCTGCTCAGTCAGCTGCTCCGTTGTGCCCTAGTGAAAAAGTATTTCTTTTACACCTTCTGGGTATCGGACTTGCTAAGCATCAAGAGGGTATAATAGGAATATGACACCTTGGCCCTGCCTGCCAAGAGATAAGCAGCAGAGAGGGCTATCAGAAGCCCATAGTCAATGTGAATGTGTGTGGTTCAGACACTAAGTGCGGCTGACTGAAAGGGACTAATTGGCCTCATTTATTGAGCACTCAACTGTGTCAAACATGGTGCTAAGCATTTGCTGTCTGCTCTGGATATGTGGCCAGTCCAGAGCTTCCTGGAGCAGGCATCTTCCTAGTGAATCCAGGTCATCTCTCCTGTGTTATTTTTACCAATCAATAACGTGTGAATCCATTTCATTATATTTTTTAAAATTATGATTCAAGATCTGAGCAGAAGAGGGGGGCTCCTATTTTGAAACAGTAGTCACAACAGCCCATGCCTCCTGCCTTATTTTGAGCTCAATTATGGACCATCTGAAGGCTGTTGTTGGTTTAATTTCTCCTGTAGGCAGTGTTGTTAGCATGAGGGAGAAAAGAGGACACATTACATAAAATGGTATCGATGCATGTCAGGTTGGATGGGTTATTTTGCCGTATCAAGTCAAACAGGCACAGAAGCAGGACTCAGGATTGGCTCTGAGTCACTGAACTACAGAGAACTCCTTAGGGAGCAGATAATGGCCCAGGTGAATAAGGATGCTGTGCAAACAGTTATTGAACCCAGATTCCTTTTCCACTGTGTATAAAAGCATTTAATTCTGCATGATGTTGAGGGTGATATTTATGTCTGTGAATGGCCTCACAAAGACACAGATTCCATCAGCCCCATGTGAAAATTTTACATATGTTAAAGCTGAATTTGGAAAAAGTTCTGATTTCTCTTCATTGAATCTCCTTTAAATGATTTTTTTACTTCCTCTTTTGCTTTGATAGTCCATTCTTCTTAGTCTAATCCAGATACACTCTTGGCCTTTACCCAGCTCTACCTTTCCTTCTGTCAAAGTATTGTGCAAAGGCACTAGATGCTGTAGCTGTTGAGAATGGGAAGGGAAGATTCTGGAAGTTTTTGGCAGGAGAGTCAAGACGGCAGGTTTCAACTGAGACTCCAATGCTCGGAGGGTCCCTTCTGGACACTCACCTCCACCTTTTTGGAAGATAAGTTTGCTCTGACAACTGCTTTCCATGCCCAGACCATCCTCCAAGTGTAACTGACTGTGAAGGAACCTGATAAAAGGAACCTCCCTCCTCATGCCCGTCTGGAGGCCCTCCTGAATCTGAACACTCCTCCCTGAGCCCCCCATGCCCATAGGATGGGGTTTAAATTCTAAACCAGAAGCCACTCGACCCCTCATTGACTCATGGCACCCTCCCTCCAAACTGCCTCCTGAGTGCTTTGTGCTCTCCTCACTCCGCCTTTTTGCTCAGTCCCCCGGACCTGAACGGCCTCTCCTGTCTGTCCAGCCAAATCTCATGTATCCTTTAAGTTCCAGCTCACGGACCCCTCCCCTTGGAAGGTTTCCCTGACCATCCCAGATGAAAGTGACTGCTCTTGTCCTGCATTTAGCACTTTCTTTCTGCATAGGGTGACCACATAATTTATTACCCATGACATTTTTTAAATCAAAAGGGGATCCTGCTAATAACTGAGCTGCATCATCAGGCAAAAAAACCTGTTTGGGGGGAAACCCTTCTTACCTACCTGCTTCATCTATGCTATTTTACTCTACATTCCACAAGGCCAGAAACAATGACATGCATTCCATACTATTTGCTCCAAGTCCTACTCCGGGGCTTGTCCATAGAAGGTGCTCATTAGGGTGTTACACATAGAAGGCACTGATTAATGAAATAAAGGAGAGAGGATGAATTGTGGAGGGGATGGAATAGAGGTCAGATACACGGAGGGGTGGGGTGGATAGGCAGGCGGGTCTCCAAAGTATTTAACCTTTTCTCAGAGAGTAAGCTAATTACCTGAGGACTGTACTACTTATTTAAAAGCTCCCATATTTCTCCATTACAAAAAACAAAACAAAACAAAAACCCCTTTCCCTCTATTTGAATTCTCCAAGTTGGCCGCAGCTCCTCCACCCCGGTCCCCCAGCTAAATGTGTTTCTCAGCTTCCCTCTGCGGCCCCAGCTGGAGGGCAGACACACCCTGGCCTTCATTTCCATTTGGTTTACTGTGGATTACTCCGGGAGGCAAGCAGTGCACTTCCAGCAGAATGTCTTCCAATAAAGAAAGAAAAGATTCACCATCCAAGAAACAGCCTACTTGTTTGGACTAAACGCGAACTGCACTTAAGTACGAATGGTACGGTCCAGACCCGGGAAGTCAGGGGCCTCGTTTCACCTCTGGAAGCCTCTCAACTCCAGGCTCATTTCTTAACACCAGTAACTTTCTCAGTATCAGGAATGCTAATCAGCTTTTCATATTTTTCTAAAGCATATTTTTCTCTCCTCCTCCCAATCCCTCTCCCCACCCCTGTTTCAGAAACGAGAAGGAATCCTCCAGTCTCGGCAAATCCAAGAGGAAATAACTGGTAACACAGAGTATGTCAACACCATTGTTGCCAGCAATTCTGTAATGGAACACAGATGTTTCTCCGAAATTCGTCCATTTGCTGATATTTAGTTTTCATTTATTGGGAGTGCAAAAGGGATTAGACTTCAGCCAATGATTATAGTTTAGCCTTTTCCATGCATTCAAAACATGCCTCTCAATGCTTAAGGTACAAACTTGGGTGGGGAAGTGGGGAGAGAGAATTAGCGGTGATTGAAAAATTCTAATTTTGTGGCACTCCAGGAAAAAAGTGTGCCCAAAAAAGCCAACCAGCATGAAATCGTCATGCCATAAACATGGGGTTGAATTTAAACTGTTAACCTTCAAAAGGACATTTTTCTTCCTTTTCTGAACCTGATTTGGTCACATGCCACGACCCAGAAAGCCCCTCTCTTGGAGTGGTGTTTTTGTTGTTTTTCACTTACGTTAAGAAATTGGAGTATCAGAACATGTAAGAGGTTTGCCATGGGAAAGACACATTTGAGTCTTAAGCAGAAAGAGCAGGATTCCGTGTGCATGGGTCTGAGATCCCTGGGCAGGCTGAGGCCAAGCCACATGCAAAGCCAGGTAAATGTCATTTTAAGCATCCCCTGCTCCAATTTTCCTCAATCTTCCCTTGAACGAGAAGAGCAAAGTGAAAAGAGCAAGGACCTCTAAACCAGCCTGACTTGAGTTCAAATCCAGGCACTGCCACTTTACTCACCTGTGGGTTCCTTCCCTGACCTCAGTTTCTTTCTCTCTGAGGTGGGGAGCATTTTGCTAACCAGAGAGGATGTCATGTGGCAACAGCCCTGCCCGCCTTCCCCGTGCCCTTCACTGCCATCTTTTCTGGCGTTTCCCCATCGCAGCTGACCCACACCATCCACGCCTTGCCCAGTCTCGAGGAAACTCACTTCCCCTCCCTTGTTGCGGCTGGCGGGGATCCAGAGTGCCACCTATGTGGGTCCCACTATGCATGTGCCTTAAAAAGGGACCAGGAGTTTGGGGCATTTCAGGCCCGGGGCAGGGCAGAGATATGAGGTGGCCCTTCCCCAGGTGCCCAGTGCATGGCCTGCCTCCACGTCACTCCAGGGCCCAGTCCTGGCAGCTGAAGGGGCAGCTGGTGTACGAGGCACACTGATCCTTGGCCTTGCATCAGTGAAGAGTGGGCAGAAAGCTGCCCTGGCTCGGGCCTGCTGCAAAGGGAGAAAATTCCTCACCCTCCTGCCCCCCGCCTCCCTTGTCCTTTGCTGGGCTTGTCCACACCCACAATTTCACCTTCTGGAAAAGGGGAAGTTGTATCTGAGAGGAGCCTGTGAGAAGTTCCCAAATCAGGGAACGTGAAGTGTCAGTTTTCAGAGCAATCTCTCGGCTGTCCCGTCCTTCCTGTGTTCTCCGTCTGCCATCTTGCCACACAGACATGAACACAGATACACACTCCTAATAATGACAGCACGTTACAGTTTATGAAGCACTTTTGTATCTATCGATGTTTGTAATACATACGTGAAGCAATGATTACACCTAAAACCCCACAGCCCAAAGGTGGCGAAGATTATCACTGGCCCATCCAACAGTTAACTCCAAGTTCATTATTCTTTCCAGTGCACCACCCACAAGTCATCATTTAATGGGTGATAGATGCACAATTGGAATGAACTAATGAGCACCAAAACTGTACTGAGAAAAAAATGTTTGAGCATTTACTATGTACTGGAAATTACATGAAAATCTTTCTACATATTAAATTATTTAACACTCACAACCTGCTATAGAGGTGCGTAGCATTATCCTCATTGTAGAGATAAGACACCTGGTGCCCAGAGAAGTTTGGTCAAGGCCACACAGCAAGCAAATGGCTCTGTGGGATTTAAACCTAAGTAGCCGGTCTTTAATGCTTAGTACTTCGCTGCTTCACTGCTATAAGTGCAATTCCAGTTCCTGCCCTCTTTGAGAAAAACCTATCCTGGACCAAGGCGAGGTGCAGCTTGATGGGTATCACAGGACAAACAGGAGAGAGAGAAGAACTTGACCTCCCCAAGCTAATGCCCACAGCATCCTGGCCAGTGAAATTACTAAGTGCAGACTACAATGCCAAGAGAGCTTTGAGGCTTTTCAACCAAGGGCGAGAAGATTCACACAGTTTTCTTTCTCCTTTTCCTACAGGGCTCTTTCTGGAAGGCATGGTGAGTTGCATAAAATTGTCCTATGGTGCTGGTAGCTGCCACAGGGGTCTAGTTAATTCTGCAGCAGCTGGGAAGAACAGGCACTCAGCTTGCTTCCTGCATGTGTGTCTACACCAGCCTGGTGACAGCCGCTTGGTAGGAAGGGTCAGCTTACTGGTGGGAAGAGGAAAACTAACCACAGCTGTGCAGTCCTTTTGCAAGTAACCAGACCACTGACATTGTTGGGCTTCTGAATGGGTCCTGGGCATTTGTAGGGCAGTGCTGCTTTAAGTATTTTGTGAGAGTAAAGGAAGGAGGTACATGTACACGCTTGGACTGTCTCCTTTCCCCACTCTGCCCAGCCCTTCTAGAAGCTGCCTTCTTTCTCTTTTCTTATCACGGCTCCTATCTTTTCCAGTTCTCAGAGCTCTGGGTTTGTTTATAAAGTCTGTGAATGTCAGAGATCACAATCACCTTCCTGGAAGTCTCAGATTTGCCCATTGGTGCAAGAGGAGAAAAAGACGGACCCCCAGGACCATGAAACTTCCCTGCCCCAGGTTCCTCTTGGAGACTGTGCTCCTTCGCTGCCTGAGATCCCTCCATTATTTCACCTCTCAGTTCCAAGAACAAGGAGGCTGTAGCAAGGAAAGACCCTGCAGGGGGCATGGCTTCGCTCTTTCCTATGATCCTACAGTTACTATGCATATTTTGATTCCAATAATGCTAAAACAACTCAGATCAGTGTAGACACCCCAGTCTACAGAGCACATGCACATACATTCTCATCTGTCATCTCGTGACACACCTGGGAGGTTTATTTCTCAGATGGCATTTTTCAGAGGAGGAAACAAGGCACAAAACATTGAAGGGACTAGATCACTCAAGAGGAGGAGCTCACATCTGGTCCTGGGCTCAGTGGTCCCCAAACTGCTTATTTATACACGCTACCAGGAAGTGTGTCTGCGTATCCTGGTTTTGCTAATTAGGGTGTGAAGTGAGTTGATATTTCGATACCATTCTACCTCCAAAAAGCTTCAGAAACACTTTAGAACCTTGACTAAATCATGATGTAATGAACACAAAGACCAAAGAGAAATGACCAGTTCTAAGTCAAAGTGCCTGACAGAGCCCCTCAACCCCAGCTCAGGGGGGTTGATATAGAAGATGGGCGCGCACGCGCGCGCGCACACACACAGCCCCTAAGATAAGAATTGACCCCAAATCTGCCCTAAAACGAGCTTCCAGAGTTCCCAGTGCAGCCTCACACCGCAGAGAATTTCCATCTGTAGCCGACCATGTGGCCGGGACTTGGGATGGGCTTCCCATCAGGAATCAGCTCTGTGCTTCACTTGACGTTTTTCTCTTTTTCAGAACGTGATGCCTTTGACACTTTGTTCGATCATGCACCAGATAAGCTCAACGTGGTGAAAAAGGTGGGAAAGAGGTGCCTGGGAGGAAGGGATGGGGGTGGGGAGTTGGGGGTGAGATATAGCAAAACTTTTTAGGAAAACCCATCCCTGCAGCTGTCAAGCTTCCTGAAACTGGTGTTAACCCCAGATCTCTGCAAATATGGGGCTCTCCAGCTTGATGTCCATTTTACTTGTCCAGTTCTCGCTGGATGCATCATCCAGTCTCTTCCTTCTCCCATCCAATGGTAGCAACTCTTTGGGTTTCTGAGACTGTGAACACCTTGTCTTCCCACCTTTACTGAACCCCAGCTGTCCTGCCTCCTCACACAGACCTCTCTCTGTCTTCCTAGGCAAAGGCACATGGGAAGGGGCTGGAAAAAAGGACTCAGTGGGGTCATTTCTTCTTTGGTCCCCTTCCTAATTTCTCTTTGGCTCCCTGACCCTGGGCTCAGACACTCCACCTCTCACTCTACCCTCTCAGGACCCCCAGTTTCACAGTTTGAATCACGTAGTGTTCAAATCCTTGGACAAGGAACTGCAAATCCTTGGGGGCCATCCTCTCCTGTGAACTGCCGGGGCTTTGCAGAGGAGCCTCATAGGCTGCTTGCTCATCCTCACTGAGCGTGGCACAGTGATCCAGGCTCTGTGCTCCTGTCTGGGCCCTATCCAGTGTGATCACACTGGTCCTGGTCCTCACCGTGGAGTCACAGAGGTGGCCTTGCAGGTCTGGCCCGAGGGAGAGTTTCCATCTCAATGTCCGTTCTGTGCTTCTTTTTTAGACTCTCATCACTTTTGTGAACAAACACCTGAATAAGCTGAACCTGGAGGTCACAGAACTGGAAACCCAGGTAGGAGAAAGCTCTGAGTGGAGGGTAGAAGCCAGACCCTGTTCAACAGCCACCATTCCAAGTGCCCAATCCTGCATTGCCGGGAGGGCTTTACACACTGACCCTGAAGCTTTTTCAGGAGGAAGGGGATTCTAGTCTGTTCAGAGGGGTGAACCACTTGGAATTTATCTTAGTTTACTTTAAAAAGTTACAAGAACACTATCACAAATACCCATACACTCTTCACCTACATATACCAGTTGTTAGCATTTGGCCATATTCTTTTTTTCCCCTCTCTCTCCACCCTAAGTACTTCAGCCTACATCTATAAATAACAAGTATATCCCCTTAGATAATCACAATCCAATAATCAAATTCTGATAATTTTAACATTGATATAATACATTATTTAGGTTAAACCATATGAAATTGTTGATACTTGACTACTTTTGACAATGTCTCATGGTTCCCAAAAAAAAACCCCCACTGTATTCCTGTTTTTTCAGTCACCCTAATATTCTCACATGCTCTATTTAGTTGTCATGTCTCTTTAGTGTATATTTATTATAAAACAAATCCTCAGCCTTTCTTTGCATGATGTCATTTTTGAAGAGTACATGCCATTTGGTTCATAGAAAAATCTCTCATTTCCACCCCACCTCACAATTAGATTCAGGTTATGCATGTTCAGTAACAATACAACCTAAGTAATGCTGTGTTTTTCTCAGACACTTTTGTCCATTAGTTTGTTACTGGTGATAGTAACTTTGATCACTGGGGTAGGTTGGTGCCTAGCAAATCTCTATACTATAAAGTTCATCTCCCTCCTTTATAATTAATAACTAATCTTTATTAGGAGATCCTTTAAGATTGTGTAATATATCCTGTTTCCCAACCTGTTTTCATTTGTAATGAATTTCTAAAGTGTGGTTTTCTTTTGAGCATGTGGTCATCTCCCTTTGTTTTTAAAAGCAATCCGGGTCTGTTCCTGAGCACTGAGTGTGTCTGGACTCTGAGAAATGAGTTTATATACTCTTCTGGGAGTTAGGGAACACTCTGGAAATGTGATATTTCCTCAAGTGAGCTACAGTAAGCTCTGGAACTTTCACTTCCGTTTTCACGGACAGGGAGTGCTGTGAAAAGGAGTCTCTGCCTCATGTGTTTGGTGTCTGTCTGCAGGTTTTACCATTGAGTCATCAGAAAGAGCAGTCAGGGGTGGGGGCTGCCTGTGTGAGTGGCACTCAGGGCTGTAAGGAACCCTGACCCTAACCCAAGGTCCTCCCCTGAGTTGACAGATTTGGATTTTTTTATTCTCAGTCCATTCCAGCCACAGCCAGAATGAGCCCCAATTAATTAGCTCCATGGGAGGACCTTGATTTTGACACTGGGGAGATGCTGGGGTGTACTCTCACATTGCCCACCCTGGAGTGGCCTCAGATGCATCTGATGGATAGAAGCAGGGAGGGAGCTGCTCCCCTGTCAAGTTCATGCTCTGGATCATGTGCCTATAGCAAACGCTGAACCACAGGCCCACCAGCTAGTTACCCAACAGAGCTTAGTCTCTGGGCCCAGCCCACATTCTGGGCAATTAGGTCTACTTTTTTTTTTTTTTTTACATTTCCTAAGATGATTCCAAGAACTTTGGCCTCGTGCAAACTCTAGCAACTGTTGTTTATGCCCACAAACATTTGGTGGCCCCGCCTCCTTTGAAAGGTTCTAGAATACCAGATATGCATCCGACCTTTCTATCTTTGCTTGGGGACTGCTCCATACCTGGAACACCTGCTCCTTCCAAATTGCCCTCATCCCGCAGGCCCCTGCTCCTCCACAAAGCCGGCCCCAAGTACTCAGCACACATTCACCTTGCCCTTCCTTGAGCAGAAGACCTGAATGCCTCTGTTTAGCCTAGGAATCTATTGTCCCTCAGACCAGGTTCCCAGCCTGTCCCACCTCTATTGTCCTTGATCAAAGGGATAGGGCTCTAAGCCTCTTATCATGGTCTTCAGCACACTGCTGTACTTTGTCAACAAGAGCCAGTAAGTTGTGTAATGTTTGCTTTATTGTTTTCTCAGATAGTAACAGCAATACAATGTCTTCACTATAGGTTCTTGGAAACTGTGACTAAGCAAAACGACATATAACTAAACCAATTTTCCCATAGGCTAGTTGCCATAACCAAGAGTTAAGTTCCTATAGCACATTTTGGGTCACAAAAATGCCACCAAACTTCTAAATAAAAACCCCAAACTCTTCTAATATTAAACATTGAAATAAATGTGAGCTATACATTTATTTAAGAAATATTAATAAAAACAAGTAAGAGAATTCTTTTCCAACCTGCTTATTCCAATTCAGGGTCCAGGTGACCTGAGTCTATCCCAGCTGCTCAGGGCACAAAGCAGGACCCAGCCTTGGACAGGACGCCCTTCCATTGCAGGGCCACATACACTCACTCACACTCACTCAAACTGGGACAATGTAGACACACCAATCCACCTGACATGAACATCTTTGGGATATGGGAGGAAACCAGACTACTTGGAAAAAAACTTATGCAGACATGGGGAGAACATGGTAACTCCACACAGACAGTGACCACAGCTGAGAATCCATTTTTTTTTCTCATCAACATTATTATGTAATGATGTTATTCAAGGACCTGCTATATATAGTTAATATTTATTAAGTGTTGCCTACTTGTCAAGCAGTGTTCTAGGCACTTTACACATATTAACTGGTTTAGTCCGCATGATAAACTTGTTAGGTAGATACTATACTATTGTCATCCTCATTGTACAGATGGGAAAAATGAGGCACAGAGAAGTTAGGTAATTTGCTCTGGTCACATAGCCAGTGAGTAGCAGAGCTAGAGGCCCATCCAAGTTTGCAACAGCTATGCTGTTGCCTCTCAAGCAATGATAAAGTGAGATGTGAGAAAGGGGAATGTCTAGGCCTATAGGACAGTAGAGTTCTTTGTTCATAAATCAAGCCACCCCAGTAGCCTCATGCCGCTGGCCTTGGACATCCTCTTGCCCTCCTCCCTCTGCCTTACCCTAGCTGATTCTTGCTCATCCCTCAGGCAGCACCTCCTCCAGAAGCCTTCCCTTTTGCCCCCAGTGGGAGAAAGGGACACTTTGACACTAGCCAACTTCCTTCCCTCCGTCAGAGCAACTGCTGCATTTTCTCCACATCATTCTTCCCACTGGACTATGGGCTTCTTGAGGACAGGGGCCACATTGACCCTTGTCTGTGGTCCATGTGCCAAATCAAGGCTTGGAACATGGTTGATGCTCAACAAATGCTGGACCATAGGCTTGTGGCTCCAGGACTGGACCAGCCAGGCCAGGCATGCTGACATAGAAGCTGATGAGCCCTCTGAATGGGGCTTGGTTGGAGGGCCCAGGGGCCCAGCAGCAGCTTCAACTGGCTCTTTCCCTCCAGTTTGCAGATGGGGTGTACCTGGTGCTGCTCATGGGGCTCCTGGAGGGCTACTTTGTGCCACTGCACAGCTTCTTCCTGACCCCAGACAGCTTTGAACAGAAGGTAAGAGAAGGTGACACGAAGGGAGGCCCTAGCCAATGTGCCCTGACTCATCTGCCTCATCTATGCTGGGGCCATCTGGGAAAAAGGCAGCAGCTTCCTATCTGCCCAGGGTCTTAAGAGGTTGGAGGTGGGGCCTATTCTGATGAGCACTGAGCTGCAAAGAAGCTGCCTTGTAGACCACTAAGCATCCTCAACAGTTTTCTCCCCACAGCTTCCTACCCAAGCCTGGCCTCGGTTGCCTAGTCATATGCTCCAGCCGGGTGCCATAGGCCAGTCTCATCTCTTCCCAGAAGTTACAGAGAAGGTGGCTGCAAGGCTGGTCAGACCTGAGGGACCCACACTCAGCCCAGTCTGATGCCTCCCATTGGCTGCCACAGCCTATACGAAGACAAGGGGCATTTGATCCAAGGCAGAAACCCTTTGCTGCCTCTTGAACACATCTTGCTCTCTGATCTTTTCAGCTGTGAGCATAAATGTCACTGAGTTGAAAATCCTGGCAGTTGACACAGGAACAGAGTAGGACAGGAAGAAGAGTCTGAACTCCTCCAGAAGTGCTTGCCAACAGCAGCCTGGGACTGGCCAGCTCACACTCTGCATGGCCTGCCTGTTTTGGTAGCCTCATTTCTCCTTCAAATTAGGGCCTGATTTTAGCTCAGCCTCCATCCCTTTAGCTAAGTGCTGGCCCCATCACTTTTGGGGGTAGGTCCCAGGATCCACAAGGGTCCAGGAATGAGTGTACAACAACACATGCACTGCATTTCTCTTTCTAGGTCTTAAACGTCTCCTTTGCCTTTGAGCTCATGCAAGACGGAGGGTTGGAAAAGCCAAAACCACGGCCAGAAGGTACTTTTCTCTTCCTCTGGGTTTGTGACAAGATGATGAGACCCTCTTCCTATACATGGCACATGTTATAGGGCAAGGCTCATGTTTGGTAGCAGAGCAACAGTTTCTCTTCTGAAGCCTTCTTTGCCATTCACAGGGTAGGGAATAACAGGGCACAGCTGCCCAGCCATGGAAATCCTTTGTGAGCTGCAAATCACACAGCCATGGAAAGACAAAATCTGAAATTGTATGTATGGCATAAGGACCCAAGCAGGTATGGCACAGAGCAGAGGTGCTGCAGAACTGTCCTGTGCCCAGTTTCCAGGTTCTGTCCCTGCACAGGGTGATGATCTGCCAAAGAGCAGTAGCCAAACCAGGCAGGGGGTAGTTTCAGGAGTCAGTGCTGGCATCTCTGCTCTGAGTATAACTGCCTTTCCTTTCCTATGCCCACTCCAAACTGCCCAAGGATGCTTTGTCAGATTTAGGTTGAAAATGTAAGGCTTGAAAAAAGGTACAAGGACGAATATGCTCCACTAGCCCTCCTGTGCTGCTGCTTAGAACTGTGTGTGCATTTGTGCATGTAGGAGGCACATGCCTTTAGTAGCCTCCTTGGTACAGATGTTTATTTTCTGAAACTTACTGACTGGAATATTCCATTTTACCAGTGTTAGTGTATCAATGCTGTGTTGCAGATAATTTTCTGTTTATGTCAATTTAGAACATTAAGAATGCTGTGTGTGGGCCCTTTTGCTTGTACTTTCCTGGCTGTTTAAAGGCAAGTGATCAAGTAGGGATTGTGTGCTTTTACTCCCCATTGCTGCCTCTGTTCTGAATTCCTCCACCTGGAACTCCCCATAAAGGAGCTTCTTCACTGACTGTCCAGTGGGAGCCTGAGACCCCATGCCCAGGCCATCTCTGACCTCAAGGCCCTTGTAGCCAGCCAGGGGAGAGAAAAGATGCTCTGAGTAACCATAACAAAAGGACAGTGAGAAAACTGCCACGAAAGAGGTACAACTAAGAGGTTGTGAGAATTAAGGAGGGGATCCTTTCTTCACTCTGGAGTTGGGGATAGTTTGACAGAGATGGTGATAGTTGGGCTAAACCATGAGAATCAGGTAGGGTTTTTGTTTGGAAATTAGGATAGGAGAGAGACAGATACAAGCAGAAGCTGACCTTAACTTGTACTAGTTCCCTTCCAAAGGAGCTCCAGAACCAGCATAACTAGTGGATGGCTTCAGACCACACCAGAGCACCACCTAACCAGCTCAGCAAACAACACACCCAAAGGGCAGCTTTGGCTGCATTAGAGCCCTGCTAAAGTGACTTCTGGTCCATGGGTCAGCCCCAGAACAACAGCTTGTCTGCTATCATCACAACCAGCTCTCACAGCCACTCAGTTTGAGCATCAGTCCCACCCACTGATGTGCCAACAGCAATCATAGCTCAACTACAACAGCAGGGCACATACAAAATACACAGGGGGCACCACTGGAGCACTCAGCCCAGGTAACCAGGGAAACTGTACCACTGGGCCCCACAGGATACCTACTACATAAGGCCACTCTGCCAAGAACTGGAGATGTGGCAGATCTAACTAATATATAGGAAAAAATCCAGGGAGTCAGCCAAAATGAGGAGACAAAGAAACAAGTCCCAAATGAAAAGACAGAACAAAAATACAAAAAAATATAACTAAACAAAATAGAGACAAGCAATCTACTGCATACAGACTTCAAAACAGTAATTATAAGGATGCTCAATGATCGTAGGGGGGAAATAGATGAACTCAGTAAGGACTTCAACAAAAAAAATAGAAAACATCAACATGGCAATAGAAAACAAAAAATTGTCAGAAATGAAGAATACCTTAGAGGGAATCAACAACACGTTATATGAAGCAGAGGACTAAGTAAGTGATCTGGAAGATAAGGCAGCAGAAAACACCCATTGTAGTACTAAAAAGAAAAATATTTTTTAAAAATGAGGATAGTGTAAGGGACCTCAGGGGCAATATCAAGCATACCAGCATTTGCATCAGAGGGGTACCAGGATGACAAGAGAAAGAACGAGGGATTGAAAACTTATTTGAAGAAATAATGATTGAAAACTTTCCTAATCTGATGAAGGAAACAGATATACAAATAGAGGAAATACAAAGACCCCCCCCCAAAAAAAACAAGATGAACCCAAAAAAGGCCCACACCAAGATACATCATAATTAAAATGCAAAAATTTAAAGAAAAAGAGACCTTAATAGTGGCAGGAGAAAAGCAATTAGTTTCATTAAAGGGAGCTCCCATTAGACTGTTGGCTGATTTTTCAACAGAAACTTTGCAGCCCAAAAGGAATGGCAAGAAATATTCAAAGTGATGAAAGGCAAAGACATACAACCAAGAATGCTCTACCCAGCAAGGCTATCATTTAGAATTGAAATAGAGATAGTGTTCCAGACAAGAAAAAGCTTAAAGAGTTTAATACCACTAAACCAGTATTTACAAGAAATGTTAAAGGGACTTCTTTAAGAAGAAAAGATCAAAAATATAAACAAGAAAATATAGGAAAGAAAAAATTCTCACTGACAAAGGCAAACATAATAAAAGCAATGGATCACCAACTATAAAACAAGTACAAAAGTTAAAAGTAGGAAGATCATGTGTAATTACAATAATAAATTAAGAGATATATACAACATGCCAACACAAAAGTAAAAAAGAATGACAGAAACATAAATGAGGAGGGAGTGAGTAAAAATTGTAGTTATTTTAGAATGTATTCAAACTTAAGTGACCATCATCTCAACTATGTGCATTTGTGTATGTAGGAGGCACATGTCTTTAGTAGCCTCCTTGGTACAGATGTTTATTTTCTGAAAATTATTGACTGAATGCTATAAACATAGATTAGTACAGGGTGGGGCAAAAGTAGGTTTATATTCTTGTATTATTATTTTCCATAAAAAAAACTATAAACCTACTGTTGCCCCACCCTGTATATGTGAAGCACATGGTAACAACAAACCAAAAATCTCTTAAGTTATATGAGAAATAAAGATAAAGGAATCCAAACATAACACTACATAAAGTCATCAAATAGAGGAGAACAGGAAAAAAGAATAAGAAACACAGATGAACTGCAAAACAGTCAGAAAACAATAAAATAGCAATAATACATACCTATCAGTAATTACTTTAAATGAACAAAATGCTCCAATCAAGAGACATAGGGTAGCTGAGAGGATTAAAAAAAAAAAAACACACACAAAAACAAGACCGGTACATATGTGGCCTACAAGAAACCCACTTTAGATTGAAAGACACACAAACTGAAAGTTAAAGGATGGAAAAGATATTTTATGCAGATGGAATGGGAAAAGAAAGCTGTACTTATATCAGATGAAATAGACTTTAAAACAAAATCTGTAACAAAAGACAAAGAAGTGCATTTCATAATGATAAAGTGATCAATCCAACAATACTAATAACTTTTGAAAACTATGCACCCAATGTAGGAGCACCTAAGTATATAAAGCAAACATTGATAGGCATAAAGGGAAAGATCAACAGTAACATAGTAAAGGACAAAACATCTAGACAAAAATCAACATGCAAAGAGTAGCCTTAAGTGACACATTAGATCAGATGGATTTAATTTTTTTTTTTTTAGAACATTTCACCTTAAAGCAGCACAATATACATTCTTTTCAAGTGTATGTGGGGCATTTTTCAGGACTGATCACATTAGGCCATAAATCAAGTCTCAATAAATTTAAGAAGACTGAAAAACAAGCATCTTCTCTGAGCACAATGGTATAAATTTAAAATCAATTACAAGAAGAAAACTGAAAAACACACAATCACCTGGAGGCTAAATAACATGATACTAAACAACAAATTGGTTAATAATGAAATCAAAAGATACGTTGAGACAAATGAAAATGGAAACACAACCACCTAAATATTAAAAAAGAAAAGAAAAGAAAAGAATCTGTGGGAGACAGCCAAAGCACTTCTAAGAGGAAAATTCATAGCAATACAGGCCTACCTCAAGAAATAAGAAAAATTTCAAATAAATAACCTATCGTTACACTTAAAGGAACTAAAAAGGAGAATAAACAATGCCCAAAGTAAGAAGTAAATAGTGAAGATTAGAATGGAAATAAATGAAATGAGTCCTAAACAAACAATAGAAAAGATCAATGAAACCAAGAGCTGGTTCATTGAAAAGATAAAATCGATAAATCTTTAGCAAAACTCATCAAGAAAAAAAGGGGGTCCCAAATAAATAAAATTAGAAATGAAAAAGAAGTGACAATTGACACAACAGAAATACAAAAGATTATAAGAAAATACTACAATTATATGAAAAGAAATTGGATAACCTGGAAGAAATGTATAAATACCTAAAAACAGCCCTGGCTGGTATGGCTCAGTGGATTGAGCACTGGCCTGTGAACCAAAATGTCACTGGTTCAATTCCCAGTCAGGACACATGCCTGGGTTGTGGGTCAAAAATTTAAAAATTAAAAATGAATAAATAAATACCTAGAAACATATAAGCTTCCAAGACTGAATAGGGAAGGAATAGAAAACTTGAACGGACTGATAATTATTAACAAAATTGAATCAGTAATCAAAAAAACTCCCAAAAACAAAAGATCTGGATCTAATGAGTTCACAAGTGAATTTTACCAAACATTCAAAAAAGAACTAATACCTATTCATATCAAAGTATTCCAAAAATTTTAAAAGGAAGGAAGTCTCCCAAACTCATTTTACAAGTTCAGCATTACCCTGATACCAAAACTAGGTAAAGTTACTACAAAAAAAAGAAAATTATAGGCCAGTATGCCTTATGAATATAGATGTACTAATCTTTAACAAAATATTAGCAAGCCAAATTCAACAATACATTAAAAATATCATACACAATGATCAGGTAGGATTTATCCTTGGAATGCAAGTTTGGTTCAAAATCTGCAAATCAGGTAATGTGATACACCCCATAAACAAAATGAAGGATAAAAATCATATGATCATATCAATAGATGCAGAAAAAGCACATGATAAAATCCAATATCTGTTTATAATAAAAACTCTCAGAGTAGAGTGGGGATAAATTGAACATATATCATCATAATAAAGGCTATATATGACAAACCCACAGCTAACATCATAGTCAATGGTGAAAAACTAAAAGCTTTTTCTTTAAGATTAGGAAAAAGACAAGGATGTCCACTTTTGCTACTCTTATTCAAAATAGTGTTGGAATTCATAGCCACGGCAATTGGGCAAGAGAAAAAAAAAAGGCATCCATACGCAAAAGGAAGAAGTAAAACAGTAATTATTTGTAGATGACATGATACTAGAGAGAAGCCTAAAGATTCCATACACACTCACACACACACATACACATTAGATAAATGAATTCAGTAATACAAAATTTTCACTAATCAGTTGAATTTTTATACACTGATAATGAACTATCAGAAAGAGAAATTAATAAAACCATGCCATTTACAATTGCATCCTAAAGAATAAAATACCTAAGACTCTTATTAACCAAGGATGCAGATGACCTGTACTCTGAAAATTATAAAACACTGAAGAAAGAAAGTTAAGAAAATACAAATAAATCGAAGGATTTACTGTGCTCATGGTCAGGAAGAATTAATGTTGTTAAAATGTCCATACTACTCACAGCAATCTCCAGATTCAATGCAATCACTGTCAAAATAATAATGGCATTTTTCACAGAACTAGAATAATCCTAAAATTTACATTGAACCACAAAAGATCCCAAATAGTCAAAGCAATATTGAACTTACCATCCTGAGCTTATTTTCCATGTCTATAAAGATGGAACTCCTAGAGACATGAACATTACAGGATTGCATGTGATGATGCCTGATGCATAGCATCTGGAACAATGAATGTAAGCAGTTACCTTTTATTAAGAGTATGAATTGAATAATGTTGATGAGGATGAAGTAAGCTGGTGTTAGGTCCTACAGGGACTTGAGGCCAAGGCAGAAAATTCTTACTTTATTCTGTAGGTAGTGGGAGTCTAAGAAAAAGTGCTCAAGGCAGGTAAGTGATATGATCAGAGTTCTGTTGCGGAGAGATCGTTTACAAGGCAGTGTGAAGAACAGACGTTTAGGTGTGGGACACCATCGGCAGCAATGGGGAGCCCGGGAGGGAAAACAGGCTTGGAAGGGACATACGGATGTCAACTTTGGACACCTTCAGGTTGACACCTAGGTACTGACCAAGCAGAACTGGAGCTGGTGGAAAAACCAGGAGTGTCTGATTATATAATGGGAAGTCTTCCACTTGTTGGAAGCCAACACACCCACAGTATGGAACAGAAAAGTATGTCAAGAAAAGAGTTAAGGGCATATCTTGTGAGAATTCCTTTACTTATGAAGCTGGAGCAGGCAACCCAGAGGAGAGAGGTAGATTGTGAAGGTGTTGTTTGGGACCCTGTTTCATGCCTCATTCTAGACCTCAGTGCTATCAGCTCTAGCTAACAAAAGCCACCCCTTACTCTCATTTATTGTTTTAAGTGTCTGGATACTGTTAAAGAAGGACTTCTAGCAAGGTTGGTGTCCCTTTAGGATTTCTCTTCCTGGCATGGCCACTCTAGCGTCCTAATGCCTTTAGGAATGGACCCTGAGTGTCCCGTAGCCAGTCAGTGAGCATCCCACCTCTGAGTAACAGAGAAAGAATAGGAGAGCTCTGTCAGCATTTCTACCTGTTTTCTTGAGCGCTTCATAAGAATCTTCCTCATTACAGGTTGGAAGTACTCCTTTTGATACTTCAGTTTTCAGGCATTTATTTCCTTCCAGACAGTTTCCCAATGTCAATTAATCTATAGGGATATTACAGCATATTGATGACATTTCTTGTACAATCATTGAACTGCTTATATGAAACTTCCTGACCAATGTGAATGGAAAAACACATGTTTTATTTGTTGTTACACCGGGCATCATGCCCGTACTGAAAATTTCCAGTGTGTAAAGGAGAGCTGAAATGGGGTTTTATGAAATTGTACTTTGGGAGAGGTATACCCTCGCAATCCTTTTGGTTCCTGTGCTTCTCCCTGGAAAGGAAAGTTCAGCAGTAAATGCTACAGACTTCATTAGATGTGCCAATGTGGGTAATTCTTTGAGGGTGTTTCAAAATCAAATTGGCTGTGGTGGGAGCATTTTTTTTTTTTTTTAGGGCAAAATGGTTTTAAGGTCGGGAAACACACTCTCTGCCATGCTGTTTGATACTCAAAGCTCCATTGTACCTTGAAATCCCCTGGAAACTTTGGGTTTGCAACCCAGATGACTTTTGCTGCCCAGGTTTCATAACCTTTTGGTTCCCTGGAAACAGAACCATACCCAGAGGTGGAACAGTCCCGCTACACTGGGTAGAAGGGGTTGGAGAGGGCAAGAGGCTTTGAGAAGCATAGTTAGAGGAGTCTGTTGCTGTGCCTCCAGCTCCACTCTACCTTCCCCTTTACTCACGCTCACGCTCTTGGTATGCTCACTTTTTCTCCTCTCTGGCTTTCTAGCAGTTTCTACCTGGGATAACTTCCTAATCTTTGACTTGAGTGGAATTTAAGAAACACCAAGCCTTCAGGGAGGACAAGAATCAGCCCCCAGGGTATAGGAGTGACTTGGCAAGAACAGGGCTCAGCCACTGGGCCCGGCCCCAGGTGGAGGCTCAGGCAAATGCATGAACCAACCTGGGAGCAGAAAGGGAAGCTGAGTGCCAGGCCTCTCAGGTAGCCCCTGGGAGCCTCTGGTCTGTCAACAAGAGAACTTGGAGCAGAGCCCAAGCCACCTGGGGTGGCAGAGGGTCAGTACACAACTGGGGTGAGGCCCGGGAAAGGCATACAGGAGGGGGCCTAAGGGTGAGGAGGGGCCCTGAGGAGATTCCACAGCCCCGGGTGGTTGGCATGTAGCCCTGTGGGTGCTCATTATTGCAGGGCCTGGGGCCTGGGTGTACCTGGCTGTGGCACCCACACAGGCAGGGGTCCCAAGTCTAAGGCTTGGGAGCCACAGCTCAGCATGACAAGGGCATGGCTAGAGTGCTGAAGTCTTCCCCAACCCCCTTTCCCAGCGGCTCAGCCTGATCTCTCCCAATTCAAAATGCTTTGAATCCAAAAGCACTTATTGTTTTCTTATATCATTTACCTCATCTGACCTTCTGCACAGTTAGATGTCTTCTTAATCACTTTTACTGTGGAAAAATATTGCATCTACAGAAAGGTGCATGAGACATAAATGTTCAGGTTAGTGAAATATTAGCCAGTGAGCCACAGCGCGAGAGTCATCCCAGCTCCCGGGAGTTCCCTCTGACCTGCTTTTTTGGAACATAATCTTCTCCTTCCTCCATGAAGATAGCCGCTCTGCTGGCTTTGATAGGCTTTTATCTTTTAATTTTTCTTTCTTTCTTTTTTTTGTTTTTTTCTTACAATTTTATTCCCTTAGCATGCATTCCTGAATAGTAGGCTGAGTCCTTTTATTCATTTATGTTTTCTCTACTCTGGTCATTCAGAGGAAGGCCCGCAAAGGGCATGAGTGCAGGACAGGAGCAGAGCGGGGCCTTGGTGGGGGAGGTGGTGGCGGAGGGGCCAGCAGGGGGTTAGAAGGACAGCCAGAGAAGAATGTGACCACTAAATAAAAAGAAGGGAGCAAAGGAGCAAGCAGAGGAAATGGTTGTATAAAAGCTTGGGAATCCATGATGGAACTTGCCCGAAAATATAGTCCAACTCCTAGCCTCAAACCCCACTGCCTTGCTCTATCCTTAATGGGAAACTCTGTCCCCTGGGGACTCGTGCTTACTGAGTACTCTCTGCCAAGTGGGCTTCTGTGTCCTTCAGGGGCCCTCCCTGTAGTCCCAACTCACCTCTCCCCACTGGAGCCTCAGGCCCTGCTCTCCTTCCCACCACTCATGGCTGGATCTGTGATGAAGGCGCCCCAGGAACAGGCGAGGCTTAGGGGAAGTCAGGCCCAGGGCAGCACCCCTGTTATCGGGAGATGTCATTTCCAGGGTAAAGGCTGCGTAATCTGGGGTCTGCTTCATCTTCCTGAGCAGTGATGATCCACGCCTAGCACCTCTGCTCCTCACTGTTCCCCTGCTCTGAATTCTCACTGCACACCTCAGCACCCATCCTTCAGTGCCCACTGGCCTGTGTTGGTCCTGTGGGGGATATTCCTCTTTCCCAGCAGGTCATGGAGCTCTTCTGGAGCGCAGAATGATGTCCTGTGGCACCCAGGCAGGACCATGTCAGGCACATAAGGGGGATGGTGGGTGGAAGAGGTCAACAGATGCCAACTTTGGGCCACACGGCCCCACTGAAGCATTACGTATTTTTTGTTTTCTATGCAGACATTGTCAACTGTGACCTGAAATCCACACTACGAGTGTTGTACAACCTCTTTACCAAGTACCGGAATGTGGAGTGACGGGCAGACGGGACTGCCCTCCAAACCACCTTGACCTGCTTATTCCTGTCTTCTGCTCTGTGCTCTCCCACAAGTCCAGCTACACCCCAGAGACAGCGGGAACTGAATTAGAAAGGAAGTGATCAGTAACTCTGCGGGCCGACCTGCACCTCTCATGCCCTAGGGTCTGGCCCAGCAATGGCCCAGGAAGATTGTCCCCGTCCTGGTGCCGGGCCCTTGTTGTGATTTGGGAACCAGCTTAGGCCCAAGACACCCCCACAGAAGATGAAAATAAAGATAATAGTTGCCATTTAATGGGTGTAAACTATGTGCCAGACACCACGCTAAGTGCTCTGATGTACGCAAGCTCATTAGTCCTCATGACTTCTGTTAAAGCAGGTATTATGCTCCCCTTTTACAGATGAGGCCCAGAGAGGTAAAGTGACTTGCCAGAAGTTGGCATTTGCTTTTCCTCTTTGAACAACATATTTGTTAGTAACTAGCCAATGACATCACATTCTCTGCATGTCCTATAGTTGTGTATGTGTGCATCTGCACCCACAAAAAAGACAGGAGCCCCCTGACCTCATGCAGGGCAGATCAAGGCTTAATGAGTCACACTAAAATTGGCGAATCAAATTTAACCCAGTTAATAGTGTGTGTGTGGCAGGAGTCATGTCTCTCAACTCCTTTGTACAAATGAAAATTACTCTTAATTCCTTCAGATTTGTAATAACCCCATGCTCTGGTTTCAGGGTGACATTTGGGAAGGATTCTTTTAAAATTAATGGAGTGGCACATTTTACAGCTTTTTTTGCTTGATTGCATGTAATGGAAATGCCCTATATTTTCCTGCAAAATAAGCACTCAATTCATTATCATTAGGCAAATGTACAATATCCTCCAGCACCGCAGACAGCTGGGCGCAGGCCCATGTGAGCAAGCCTGGCTTGGGAAGTAGGGCTCTTCACCAGGGACCCTTGAACTTTAAAGAAAGGAACTCCTTTTTGCCTTCTAATTGATCATTTAGACCATTTCTGGCTAAGTCTGCCCACATGCAATTACCCGCTAATTCAGGCGAGGAAAAATGTAAATCATTCAGACCCTAGCTGAGTGGTTTCCTTGCGTGGGCTACTTGCGGGCTTGTGGTGACTTGTATCCCTGCTCTGTGAACCCAACTTGGAAAAACAAGGCTCTGGGTGTCCCAGGCCGCTGGATCTTGTGTGAATAGGAAAGGGGCTAAAGTAGAGGTGACTAGGAGGACAAGAAGCACAGGGAAAATAATTGCACACTTAATAAGGAAATACCCTCAGGCAGAGGGACAGGGCCTGTGGGGTTCACAGACTTCGTAAACTGACCAAGGCCTTGGGATAACTGATGACTCTTACTGGTGTATCTTCATTATAGAACCTCCCCAAATATGCCAGATGGACACAGCCTGTGTACCCGCCTCCAGAAGTCTGTGCAGGATTCGTCACTGCTTTAGGCCCGCTGCACAAAGCCCACGTCAAGTCTGAGGAATTCATTTTGAGCTCTCTCTGCATCACCCAGAGTTAGGCCGCCCATATTGTCCAAAACATTCCCTTCCAGCTTCTAAACACTTCTTTCTCTACCCTCCATCTGCAGTAACTCAGAACCCATGAAATTTAGAGATACCACATATTTCTTTGGAAATTTTGCCCTAAGAAAGAACTGTTACTCAGCATAATGAGCATTTAAGATATAAAAACGATGTACTCTTATGTCAATTTATGGAAAAGGATATGGTTATTTTTTACACAATTAATGAAACGTATGTTTTTCATCAGGAAAACACCAAATAGTGTAATATTTGTTTGCTCTCTTTTAAATTCCTGACAGTAAATCAAGATACGCCATTGCTTTGTCTCCTTGAGCAATACTAAAGAGGGATGAAATAAGAGCAATGCGTACATTTAAACGTGCTTTCCTATGCTAATTTTCTCTCGTTTTGTCTTTATTTCCCCCCAAGTGTACAGTGTAACAAGCGCCCTTATTAAGAGCACTCCTTTTTGTATTTTACATATACATGGTATGAAAACACCTCAGAACACTTGGGAAGTTTAATAACAGGCTTAATTTATCATAGCATTGTTTCAAGACTGAGGCCTTAGCCTCAGTCCAGAATCCTAGAACCTGGGCCTGCTTTTATCAGCCTGTCTTCTCGTTTAGAGGTTTTCCTTTAGATTCTCCTGCTCAATACACAAGCATGGTTTGAAGGGGGAAGAGGCATCAGAACAATAAATAAACCAAACTTAACCCTCATCTCTTCCCCCTCCCCACCAATCCCCCCCACCCTTCCCATCCCTACCTCCTACCCTTGATCCTACCCTCTTTGGCTTTATTCAGGTCTCTTTAAAAAAAACAAAACCCTGATTAGGTTGCTCAGTTGGTTATAGTATCATCCCCAAATGCCAAGATTGTAGGTTCGATGTCCAGTAAAGGCACATACAAGAAGCAACCAGTAAATGCATAAATAAATGGAACAACAAATCGATGTTTTTCTCCCCCTTTCTCTAAAATCAATCAATAAAAAAAAAAAAGAAAAAAAGAAAAGACAAAAATCTAGTCTTTGTAGGTTCAATTTTTTCTAAATGTAAATTAATTGATATTTTTAATAGTTAATATGTAAATGGTGCGAAATTCAAGAATCATGAATGAGTATCTAGGGGAAAAAGTAAATTTTCCTCCCTTTTCTCCCCCAGTAGCCAATCCATCTCCCCAGAGGCAACTATTTTGATCCATTTCTTATATTCACTTCCAGAGAAAATCCAGCCGTAAAAAGCATCAACTATATAAAACAGTTGGGGTTTTTATTTTTTTTAACGTAAGTAGCATATATACTGTCAGGCACATTGCTTTTTTCACTTCATGTTCTATCTTAGAGATTATTTTACACTGAGTATTAAAACCTTCCACATTTTAAAAATGAGAATCTGAACACTGTGTAAATCCAAAGGCCCATCTCTGGCCTGCTGGAGCTGGGAGATGAAAGTCGTCCCCAAGGAGCCTTACCAAGGGAGCTGCCTACATGGCGATTTCAGAGTCAGAGCCTGAGACCTACTGGGGTAGAGAGTCGGTCTCATGGGACATGTTACCAGAAACATTCCCATGTGTGCTGCACTGAAGGGTTTTTTTCAAGTCCTCTTTTGGGTTATGATGTTGAGTGGTGTGCAGTTTGATTAAGCTTTCATTAGTACATTATTACTAGGGCTACTAATTTGTAATTGGCTAAGCACATGCCCTACGGTATTCTAGTACGAGCCCAGCAGCCATGCCGGGCTCCTCTATTCAGTCAGAAGGTTCCAGTTTCACATGTGTAGGCACAGACTTGACATTTCCAAAATCTGAGGGAAGGACTTTATCGGCACATCATCAGAGTTGCCCTAGTTGGTTACAATTTGCATTTGCTACTCTGGGTACTTTTTAATTATGACATACTGTTAGCTTAGCTTTATCATTATCAATTTATTTTGTTGTGGGTTGCTTGGTTAACCCTACAGAGTATACTGAAGCTTATTTGCATCAGTAGTACCCTGAGGCTGTAATTTTCCAATAACTGGACTTTAAGTCATGTATATATTGTGGTTCAGATATGAATTACCCCTACTCCAGTGCTAGAGCAAAGGTATACATAATCCATTCCCCACAAATTATCGCTAATTTATTTTTCCACTGGAAAAATGAAACCAGACAAACTTGGTAGGTCAGGCAGTTTTGCCCTAAGTAGGGGCTGGTCGAAAGTAATTCAAGATCCACTGCCTTTAATACAACCCCACCTCAGGAACCCTACCTACATACAACATCCTCAATATGTAAAAGCGATATGTCCTAAAATCTTCACTAATGGTAATATTAAATTCACTTAGGTCTCTTGGAAGATTCAAAAGTGTTTTTGTGGATACAGAGAACAAGAGAAGTGCCTTGAGATGCAAATATTGAGCAGTAGCTGGACTAAGCAGCTAAGGGACCTACATCAACACACCGGCTTCGCAACACTTGCATATTCGGGTCTCAGCAAATGACAGGCTAATATGTATGAATGGTTCACTGTCATGACTACAAAGATTGTATCTGCTAATAACATGTTTCTACATTTTTTCCCCTTCCTTTTCCCTGAAAAATACAAACCCAGGCCTGGCTTGTATGGCTCAGAGGGTTGAGCACTGGCCTGCAGACCAAAAGGTCACTGGTTCAATTCCCAGCCAGGGCACATGCCTGGGTTGCAGGCCAGATCCCCCGTTGGGGGCATGTGAGAGGCAACAATTGACGTTTCTCTTCCTCTCTTTCTTCCCCCTTTCCCCTCTCTCTAAAAATAAATAAATAAAATCTTTTAAAGTAAAAACTATAAATCCAGGCTAGGGTTTCCGAAGTTTTTCACGATTTGCTCACACTCCTGCTTTACTGTGGTGGCAGTGATTGCACATGTGAATGTGTAACTGTGTTCGTGATGACTGCAAGAAGCCTTGAGGGTGCTCAGTGCGGGATGAGCAGCACCCGCACCAAGCCTGCCGACCTTGAGAGTTTCAGGCTTTCTGGGCAGGAAACCACCAGGGATGCATCTCAAAGTCCATTCTGTAGGATGTTACGAGATGTTCGGTGAAAAAAATGCCACATTCAAAGAAGTTTGGGAAACAGTTAAAGGAAATTAAACTCACTTTCTACACTTTGGATTTCTTTTGCACTTTTTGTTTTCTAACTGGAGAGCCTAAGTTTCCTACACTAATGTGTATTAGGACTCTCTGAGGGCAAGCAGAATAGGGTACGTCCCAATCGTGTTTGACCATGGGGCCCATTTGCCTTCTGAGGAAATTGCAGGATGCACACCCTGTGCAACTCAACCACTAGTTTAGTCATGTAGCCATAGAGTCAACAAGTGTGTGCTGAGTGCCTACCACATGTCAGGTAGGCTGTGTCCAGTGGCAAGTGAGGGAGTCCTATAGCTCAGGCTACTGGGAAATACACATGAAACATTATCTCAATACAATGGTACAGTAATTTCTCAACGTCTTTGATATGCTTGGAAACTGCAACATTCAGTAAAATGACTGAACAAAACCAATTTTCCCACAGGCTAATTGATATATACAAGAGTTAAGTTCCTACAGCATATTTCTGGTCACAAAAACTTCACCAAACTTCTAAACAAAGACCCCAAACACTTCAAATATTAGCCACTGAGCTACCCATACATATAGTTAAGAAAGAGTAATAAAAACTATGTAGGATTCCAACCCACTTATCCCAGTTTAGGGTCACAGGTGGCAAGAGCCTATCCCAGCAGCTCAGGGCACAAGGCGGGAACCAACCCAGGACAGGACGCCCTTCCATTGCAAGGCCATGCACACACCCCTGCACTCACTCGAGACCGGGACACACCAGTTGAGGTGACGTGAACATCTTTGGGATGTGAGAGGAAACTGGAGTCCCTAGAGAAAACCCACTCAGATGTGGAAGAACATGCCAACGCCACACAGACGATGGCCCTGACCAGGAATCAATTTTTTTTCTTATCAACATTATAATGAAACCAAATAGAATGACGCCACATTATTCAAGGACCTATTATACTATACTTACAACTTGTGATGACGACTGTAGAGAAGTACAAAAAACTATGAAAGAGGTCTCATACAGATTTTGAAGTCAACAGAGGTCTCTGGCGAAGTCTCATTTTAAAGTGACACCTGAATCAGTGAGCTACTCAAGTGAAGAGCTTGCCTTTCAAGGGAACAGCACAGGTGAGGATCTCAAGTCAGGAGACTCAGTTCCCTGGAGGAACTAGCAGAGAGCCAGGTCAGCTAGAATACAAAGAGGGAGGGGGTAGAAGAGGTATCAGAGAACTGCAGATTTTATCATAAGAAAAATGAGAAGCTACATATGTCAAAAAAAAAAAAAGTCTAAACCATAGGCACTCAAATGTGGGATATAAAACTGAAAGTTACAAATGAACAAAACAAGATAAACAATAACTCATAGACACAGACACAGCAGTATAGTGGTTACCAAATGGAAGGGGGCGCGGTGGGGAGGTATAGTAGAGTAAAGCAGAGTCAAATGTATGGTGACAGATTTGACTTTGGGTGGGGTGGGCACACAAGGCAATATACAGATGATGTATTATAGAAATTGCCCACTTGAAACCTATATAAATTTTATTAACCAATGTCACCTCAATAAAATTTGATTTTAAAATATACATTTTTTTTAAAAAAGCCTTTTGGCCATTGTGTAGGATAACTTGGGAGAAAGCTATGTCAGCAACGTGGAGATCTGAGACTCCTGTTCCCATCTGCATGCCCTGGTAATAGCTGGAGAGCAAAGGAGACCAGGAGAGCCTGAGCCTCTGCCCTCCCCCAACCTGGATTCGAGCACGCACGGGAAGCCTGCGTGTGCTTCCAGAGGCAGCGCCTGCTGGCCGGTCCTATTGCTCCACTTCCCTGGGGCTCCAGGAAGGGCAGGAGCTCCTACACCACCTCCAACCTCTCCACAGTTTGGTTCTCTGGGGAGAGCTAAGGGAGCCCGAAGACCGGGTGAGGCTGTGTATGTGAAGCAAAGGGAAAAAGTGAACCAGCAGCCAGAAAGCTGATCCCCGGGGAACAGTGCTTCCAACTTTCTCACCAAGAACTGCCATTTTATCCTTGTGTGGATTTGATGGGGGGTGGGGGAGATGAGGAGGACTCAGGAATGCTGTCAGCTAACCTGGGGGCAAGGCAAGGTATGGGCTTCCTGGAGACAGGAGAATAATTTCATTTTGCCAATTCACATAATCACAATGGATCGTTATAGTTAAAATGCCTACCATATCACAAAGCCTACAAGGAGATCACTTATACTTCACAGTGTCACAGTTAGTGTCTTGAGAAATAGCTTTCATAGGAAGGTATATTACTTTCACTGGAAGTTTGAAATACAAGACATACGCCTGGAAAGCCCCACTTGGGTGATCCTTGGTTGGAAGCCAGTCCAGTGAGCCTCTGCCCAGAAAGATGCTTCTCCTCTGCAAGCTGTGTCCTCAGCTGGCCATGTTCTTGCCTGACCGCCTAGGCCTTCCACATACACGTGGGCAGTAGCTTTAACGCTGGCATTTAAAAGGACACTTAGAAAATTCTGAGAAGCTCCAATGATTAAGATAAATGATGTTTTATCAGTGGAACAGACTTTTCATTTCTTGTTATCGATTTTCATGTTTTCACATCTTCAGATACGATTTGTTAGCCCAAGGCGGCATTCCAAGACACGCAAACGTCATTAAGGCAACTGCTTTAAAGAGTGCCATATTTTATTGAGTTGGACAGGACAATAGATACTTAATCTGCTACACGTTTGCTCGGTATAGGAGCTGGAGTTGGCACTGCATGGCTCTCAGGTTCTCACATGTCTTCCTGGAATCCCTGACAACGGCCTCACCACCTGCTTGTCAAAACATTACCTGCTCTTAGCAAACATTTGCCCATGTTTCTGAAAAAGCAGTGTCCAGAAGGAAGCCTTCTCCCACTCAAGCTTCAGAGTTTACCC